GGAAATGAATCAACAAAATTTAACAACAAACTAAACGTGAATAAAAAATAAATAAAATTAAGGAATCTCTAATAAAAAAATAATAATAACGTAAGACGTTTCCTCCAAGCCAAGAGCACCGCAGCACAGCTCCACTCCAAGTCCTCAGGCCGCAACCTGGAAGACCTGGGGTGAAGCTGGCACGGAGCCCCCATGACTCAGAACAAACGCCTTACATCGTTACTAAAATGAACATGACTTTCATACAAATGATCTAATAAGCTAATAAAATGTTAAACTTTCTTTCTGATATCCTAAGTACTTAACGTACAAACCCTTTTTGAGGCCCTTAATTGATTGTGATTGCTTAATGTCATTGTTCATACTGTTCCATAATTTAATGGCTCTAACAGTAAAAGTTCTACCACCCTCGGTCTGTCGATGAAAGAGGGGGCACCTAAAAYTATATTTCTTAAAACGAGTATTTCTATTATGTATATCAGCGTTCGTAAGAAGGTTTTCATTCATATATTCAGGGGTCTGTCCATCAATTCTCTTATACATAAGTGCTCCGGTAGTAATAAGTGTTTCTTGATAAAATGGTATCCAATCGAGAGAATTGAACAAGTCTATCGATCTAGAGTTCATATCTGCTTCTGTGATAATCCTTGCAGCCCTCTTTTGAAGACGGAATARTCTATTAAGACTATCTGAAGAGCATGATGACCAGACAGGAGAAGCGTAACTTAGAGTTGGTTTTATAATAGTACTGTAGTAGATTTCCCTTTGTGAACGCTTCAGATACGGACTAATCCTTCGCAGAACACCAATACGCTTAGATACCTTAGATGATAGCTCCTCGACATGTGCTTCGTAAGTTAAGTCATCGTCTAAGACCACACCAAGAAGTTTATGCTTTTCAACTTGTTCTATATTTGATCCATTGATTGTTAAGTTGAATTGGGATTGTTCACTGTTCATGCGTTTCCGTAGGCGTTTACCAGCGACAAGCATGGCCTTTGTCTTGCAATCATTGACAAATAACTTATTTATCCTAGACCACTGACTGATAGAACTCAAGTCCTCATTCACCTTGCTAGATAACACAGGGCTATTTACCTTTGAACTTAATGATAAAGTAGCATCGTCTGCGTAGATTGTTACTTTCGAGTTTGGAATGTAAAGTGGCATGTCATTGATAAAGATCAGGAACAARATTGGTCCCAAAATGGAACCTTGTGGGACACCATGCTGTATCTCTAGAAGAGAGGATGTTGTAGAGTTCACTTTAACATATTGTTGTCGGCCAGATAAATATGAGGTAAACCACTGAAATGCCAAATCCTCAAATTGGTACATTTGCAGTTTTCTAAGAAGAATACCATGATTAATGGAATCAAAAGCCTTTTTAAAATCGATGAATAACAAGCCGGTGACTTTGTCACTGTCCATATCAAAAAGGATCTGATCGGTAAGATGAATAAGCGCAGTGGCAGTTGAATGTTTAGCTCTAAATCCTGATTGATATTTGTAAAGAAGGTTAAATTCTTGAAGGAATGASTTCAGTGACYTGGCAACATGCTTTTCAAAGATTTTTGAAATAACAGATAAGACGGAAATAGGACGGTAATTACAGCATTCCTCACGTGGCCCAGCTTTGTGGATTGGACTAACCTCGGCTATCTTCCACTGACTGGGAAAGGTGCCTTTGGCTATCGATTTATTGAAAAGCGTGGAAATAGGATCAGCTATCACAGGGGCAACCAGTTTTAGGATCTTTGTACTGATTCCATCAGGGCCTGTTGCTTTGATAATAGGGAGTTTTTGAATAAGATCTTTAACTTCCTCACATGTTATAGACGG